TAAGGCAAACACACACACATAACAACAATTAAAGAAAAAGAGGCCATGATTTGAAAGAGCAAGGGGGTAGCACATGGGAACAAGGGAGGGGTTGGAGGAAGGAAAGGTATGGAGGAAATGATGTAATTATAATATGATCACAAAAATAAAAACATAAATAATTCTACAATCCTTGAGCCTAATTCAAGTTATCATAGAGGGATTCATGGTTTCTCATTTAGCTCCTAGATCTAGAGGCTCCCCTACCTAGGGTGATATCAGAACCCTGTGGGACATGAGCTTACAATGCGCTCACATGTGTGTCATTAAAGTTTCCTTAAGATTTCAATGAAAGGATTTGTATTTTAGTAGAGAGATCATGTTGGGTGTAGTGAATGAAGAGAGATACCTAGACTTCAGACTTCTAGGGGACTAACATATAGTGGTTTAGAATAAAAAAATCACTTGTAGTTTACTAATCAATGTTTATAGAAATCAGATGAGTGGGGTGGGCTCTTGTTCTACATCTATCTAACAACAGGTTCAGTGGATCTATGGTGATAATTTCCTCAGCCTCAGTGTATGTAGTGTTAATAGTTGTACTTAGGAGCAGGATTCTTTTGTGCTTATGTCAGCCCTGTGAAACCTGATGGTATGAACTATCATCTGGAAGGAAGCTTCTGGGACTACACTCCATTTTTTCCAATAAAATTGTGATTGTAAATGGAGTTCTTTTTTTTAAAATTAGGGGCAGGTTATCAGTAGTATTCTTTTTTTTAAAAAGTATTTTATTCATTTATTGTGTATTATACAGTCTTCTGCCTGCATGCCAGCAGAGGGCACCAGATTTCATTCAAGGTGGTTGTGAGCCGTGAGCCGTGAGCCACCATGTGGTTGCCGGGAATTGAACTCAGGACCTCTGGAAGAACAGTCAGTGCTCTTAACTGCTGAGGCATCTCTCCAGTCCGTAAATGGAGTTCTTAATTGGTCTAAGTAATAAACACTCAGAGTTAGATATAGAGGAAAATGCTGAGACATCTGAGAGAAGAAGGAGCAAGCCACTCACTGCTACACTTTGCCTTCTTAGCGTCTCAACAGGCAAGAGTGTGAGTTTCTGTTTCTCCCTGTTTATATCCTGTTTCCACCCAATTACCTCACTTCCTGTCTATCTGTATAGACTTCCAGACCTCTATGGTTAGCTAGTGGCAAACTCTATTCTCTGATCTTCAGACAGGCTTTATTTGTACAACCAAGATGTCACCATATGTGATGCCTCAGAGAGGATATTAAAGAGATACTATAGATAGGGTATCATATCATTTCTGAACTGAATTTGCCTGCTTTGGTTGTGCAAGAGCACAGTTTGTCACTGTTTTTAAAGTGGATTATTGTGAACTCATTTAAGTAGTGTTACTAGTTTCATATTTCTTTTCAGCATGGAACTTGATATGTAGTTATTGATATGACAGTCACTTTCTTCTTATTCGTTTCAGTTAAAAAAAGTTAGAATCAATTTGTTTTTAAAAACCAAGAGCAATACTAGTTTGTGGTTTACCATAGGACTAGAAAAACTGCCCTACAATCTGTTATAATACAGTCCCGAAAGTTCTAGATTATTTATATGTTATAAAGCATTGTGATTGCTCTGGACATTGAAGCCAGTGCTACAGGGTTTGGTTAACATGAAGTAGTACACTTCAGGTAGAACTTAACCCTGCAGAAGTTCCTAGGACAATCATTGTAGGGATCTAGTGCTCTGAGGCATGTTGGGATAGCTGAGGGTGTCAGCAAGCTGTTGTTTCTTATGCTGCCTACAGAAAGAAAGAAGGCCCTTGGCCCCTGGTCTCTGGGTTGAAGACTGCTTACCCACATACTATGTATCTTGAAAGGCTGAACATTTGAAGTAGTATATAGAGAATGAAAGGGTCTTTATAATGGAAGTTCTCTTATCACATAGATATTGGGATGCAGAAGGCTTCAGTATATTCAAAGTATCTAGAGCAATATGGGATTTGTGGTCAGTCCTAGTAGGAAAATAATAAATAGCATCTGACCTTAGTTATTTCTCTGTGAAAAGTAATGCCTGCTTTGCTACTGGGCATTGAGAGAGACAGGTGTTTTCTGTAAGTGGTTAAGTGATTATGTCATTTGAGTTCCCATCTTGGGCTATATGGTATATGTATTCATTGAACTATAAAGCATGACACAAACAACAGTGAAAGTGAGAAATATGGCAGCAGGTCTGGGAGATACAGGAAAAATGCAGAATTGAAAGCCTCAGGTTCCACATTCTTGCTGTTTTTAAGCGTTGAGAGCTTTCCCTCCATCCACGGGTCTGTCATCACAAGGAGGTCCGTGTTAGCAGAGCCAGGTGTTCAGGCTTGCTCTAGGCAGTGCTGTTACACTTGTTGTCTAGTGGGATCACCAATGACACCACATTCTGGTGTGAAATATACCCCCAGTTCAGAGGCACCAATGACATACCTACTCTGCCTGTGAGAAGTTTATGGAGAGGAGAGTGTGTTCATGGATTTCTTCATGGTGCGTGCTAGCTGGAAGCTGACATAGTCAGGGAATTGTACTCATTTCAACGATATGTGTCTGGCTGCCTATTTTGTGTGTAAAGGCAGATGATCTGTATTGACCCTGGAAATTCTGGATTTGCCTCCTCCAGACTAGTTGTAAAAGAGGAGGAAAAGGATGTGGGTCAGTAGTTCCTCTGTGTTTAGCTCATTTCTGACATTAGCCCTGTGATGTAAACAGCAGCACCATTACAGGACTCAAGCACAGACATAGAGATTACTTCACATTTAGTGTTTCACAAATTTTAAGGGATGATGTCAAGAATAGAATTCAGATGTAACTACATGTCTTTTCAGGCTGTTTTCAGAGCCATTGTCTACAGTGGCAAGGTATGTCTCAGTGAGTATCTGTCAGCTACCATGGAAGTCTCTCTCTATCCCTTGTACATTTACCAGTCACTGAGAAGGTTAACTTAAATTTTGTCTTATACATTTTTCCTACCTCTAGTTTATGAAGCTTGGGAAAAGAGGACCATGCCTGAGGAGGGAATGGGCAATAAGTTGATGCAACAAGCTCCTTAAGGTTCCAAAAGTGTTCTAGGTGGGAAGCATCTCAGGCTCTTTCTTCTTTGATCATATCCTGAACCATTCATCAGGGGATAGGGTAGGCTTTGGGGTTATAGAGTCTAAAACTTTGGCTGAGAAACTTAGGAAAAGTAGGAGGCTCATTTTCAGTGATCAAAACGGGGGCCATATTTTCTTAATTTGGCCAGACTCTTCTGATGAATACACAACTAGCCTTGGAAGCAAGCATGGGTTGTTTTCTTTTTTTTTTTTAGGGACATCTATAATTTTAATGAGTTCTGGTTGGATGGAGAAAATGATAATAAATATCATTAGAGAAGATGGGTTAGAACAATTGTTTTTGTTCTATTCTTGGTTGCCTTCTCCACATACAAGGTTTCTGTAGTAGAGTGTTACAATAATACATTTTGGATATGACATTTGGTACAAAGGACTGAATCTATTTCTAAAGGAAGCAGTCTTATGTGTCTATAGTCATTCTACTTTGAAGGCTAGCTAGGTAAAAGAGTTAAGAGTAAGAATATAAACATGGTAAACAGGTTCATTTGGAAATGGACAAAGAGTCAACTATGAATGTATCCAGCATTTATATGAAGCAAAATCCAGAAACTGCAAGTCTCTGTGTGCCTCTTTTTTTTAGATTATATTTAGATATTATTTCTATTCAGCACGCATGGGTTGTTTTCTACATCATACTTTCCCATGTTATCTAGTTTCTATAAGACTCTGTGCTTCTTCCTCTTGAAGGCCTCATTCTGCAAACCTTTATGTTACTAAGGAAACATCATTGGTTCTTGTTTGCTCCTCTGATGCCACTTAGGTTGGACTAGAAGCTTTGTGCTCTTCAATTAAAAAAACAGTATATATAGATTTGGGTGTGTGCATGCACATGCACACATGCACACGTGTACCATGGCACACCTGTGGAATTCAGGACAATTTTTGGGAGTCACCTCTCTTCTTCCACTGTGGGAGTCCCTGGAGATCAAATTCAGGTCCTCAGGTTTGGTGGTGTTTTTACCCACTGAGTCACCTGGTGTTTTACCCACCTGAGAAACATCATCTCCATGGTACCAGGACTTGTTCTTTTCATGGAACTTTGTCAATGTATAATAGGCCTGAATGTAGTTTTATTTTTTACAGCATTGTGAGATAATTTATGTATAGTAATTGAGCTTCCCTTAGACTGGCTGTTTTGTTAGTACTGTAATTATCTATCAGTTGTGTCCATTCTAATTTTTGAAGGATGGGACCATAAATCTCATTCCTTGCACAGTACCTAGGGCTTATGTGGATCTTCAAAGAACTTTAGATAAAATAAATTAAATAAAATAAGTTAATGAATAGCAAACAAGGGATGAGTATGCTTTTCTTAACTATTTAAATACATATAAATAATAAGCATACAATTCCTGACATTTTCAGTGAGAAAAATCCTTTATTTAAAACAGGCCAATTGCCTTTTCTTTTCCTAGATTAAATAAAGTATTCTACAAATAAGAATTTTAAATCCAATATATGAAACCCAGTAATAGCAGTCAGGGTTCTCCACCAATCACCATTTAATAAGGTTTAAATGAAATACTTTAGATTTCTGAAACTAAGTGCTTTTGCTTAGAGAAAGAAGCAGTGTCACATTTCCTGGGTATAATGATGCCATGCTACTAAGAGAAGTTCTATAATGTCTAAGACAGATAAGTGCTAGGCCACCAAGTGCTGAGACTCAGACTTGCTCTGATATCATTAACAGTATTTCTAAATCACCGAGACAGTTGATACACTTTATTTTGAGAAGAATGGAAGCCAAGATGGGGCCTACACTATTTCTAGCCACTTGTATTTATTAATACATGCTTAGTGCTCTTAATACCTTCACTGTGGAAGGGTAGTAAGTATTTTAGCAACAAGGTACGCTATGGGGACAAAGCTGGAAAGCTTGTGCATACACAAAGTAGCGGCTATCTCAAGGTCATCAGGGCTCTTGGAAACGCCATGCGTTATGCACCTGGGACTGGTGCACTTTGTTTCCCGGCACCAGTGGCTGCTGAGTGTCTGGGGACATGGTGATATCCACAGTTGCTTCTCCATCACCCAGGGGTGTGGTGGCATCAACACCATAGGATTCATAAACTTCTGCTAATTCGGGAGTCATCAGTGGGTCGGCAGCTGCAGGGGTGACCCCGAGGAGTCCCTGCTTTTGCCCTGAAGGTCCCCTTGCTATGCTGGGAATGTGGTCGTTGGGGAAAGCAAGGAGTCCTGCATGGGCACCAGGTGCCATTTGTGAAAGGAGAGCTGGGTTTTCCCGGTTGGCTGGGTTGGCCTCTTGCAGTGGAGAGCCTTCTGGACCTTCTCCCTTCTCAGGGCCTTTGGTTACAGATACCGGAGAATCTACTTCCACAGTGAAGTCTCCGCCCTTTGGTGAATTGGGATTCAGTCCCCTAAGGGTTTGCCTAAAGCTTCCAAATCCTGGGAACAGAGTTCCATAGGCCATGGGATTTCCTCTTCCTCCCTGAAAAATAAACATCCGTTGATGACACAATTATTGTGCGTTACTAATAATGTCCATGTAATTATACCTGGTATATTCCCCGAAAAGCCACAAACACTAACCAAACAACAGGGAGCTGGCTGACTGCTTTGTGAAAGCACACTTCTTACAGAAACCAGCTTTGAAACATAGTGGAGAGGATTCTATACTTACCTGGGTTGGGGAAAGCCACTTCCAGGAAAGACAGGTAGAGACTGCCATCTTAACGTTAAGAAACTAGTAAGCAAAAGTCTGCCTTTTCCTCCTACTGGATTTGCCCATCCGTTGCTTTGCTGTGAAGGTTTGCACCTAGTCTTCCTGTAACTTGTTATGACTGTTCTACGCTCTTTGGACATCCCTCGCAGGCTCTGTTTTTTTTTTTTTATGGAAATGGAGGAGAGGCAAGGTGGGAAGGTGAGGACTGGGAGGAGTAGAAATTGTGGGTGGGCAACTTGTACCTTTCCTTTCCCTAGCGACCACTTCCCTCTTTCGTGCCCAGCACCCTCAGTTCCTCCTCTCTGTCCTTAAGACTGCATTTTCTCCTTCCATCATTGCCTTTCTGTTTTATAACCTATACCCACACCCACATCTATATTCATGTGTAAAAATTAAAATCTCAGATTCATGTATGAATATGAGGTATTTGTTTTCCTGGGTCTAGGCTACTTTTCTTAATGTGATGATTTCCTTATCCACTTTCCTTCAAATTCATGATTTCAATTTTCTTTATGGATTAATAAAATTAAATTGTGTGTAAAAAAAAGAAATTGTGGGTGGGATGTAATGTATGAGAGAATAGTAATAATAATAAAAAAGAAAACAGTAAACAGTTGAAAAGGGCTCTACTATCACAAAACAACATGTGAGACCTGTAACTGCCTTGGTTGAGGGGGAATGTTCTGGAGGATCTTGCCCATGGTATTTTTCAATATCCTTCAAATACAGCTCTGTGGGTGAGTTTTTTTCTAAAATAATTTTATTTTTTTATATATGTTACATCCTGGCCACAGTTTCTCCTCCTTCCTCTCTTCCCAGTCCCTCCCTCACCCCTTCTATCTCCACCCCTCCTGCCCAATCCACTCCTCCATTTCTGTTTAGGAAAGGGAAGGCCTCTCATGATTATCAACAAAACATGGCCTATCAAGTTTCAATAAGATTAAGCACCCCCTCCCACCCCTTCCCATGTATTAAGGCTGGGCAAGATGACACAGTATGAGGAGTAGGGTTCTATGTGTGAGTTTAACTCTTCCCCTTCAGGAGGCCTTTTCTCTCCCTCTCTCTCCCATCCTTTTCCCCCTTTGCCCTTCCCCTTCTCTTCTCCCTCTCAGACTCTTTCCTTTCCTTTCCCTCTCCTCTGCCTTCCCTCACCCTCATCTGTGTCTCCTCCCTCCCCTCTCTTCTCCTTTGCCCTGTCTTCCTCTCTGTCCCTCTTCCTCTCCTCTCCCCCTCCCTTTGTCCTCTCTTTCTTTCCCCTCCCTGTCTTCCCCTCTCTTTCCATCTCTTTTCCCCCTCTTTCCTTTTCCTCCCCACTCTCTCCCTTCCTTCTCCTCCTGTTCTGCTCCTTCCTTCTCTTTTCCTTAGATTTTTAAGAACAAAGTATAAGATTAAGTTCTCTGGAGGAAACATTTTCTCTGTGGACATACAGAATTCTAGAACTTAACATGTTTCTTTTGGTGCCATGAGTATGGGAACCAAAATCTAGGACTATTTATATTTGAGCAGAGCTGTGTGATTTTGTCACTGTTTTGACTCATCTTAAATCTCACTTTTAATTTTTCCATTATACATATTTTGTTTTTCATATACAATCACAAAATCTTTTGAGAATGAGACAAAATATAATTAGATTCACTAATAAAATGGAAACTAGCTTGGCTTTCATATCATTCTCATCTATAGCTGGCACTGTGAACCCTGGGCTGGGCTGTCTTGCTTCCCTTCTAATAACATGGTCATTACCCTTATCCCATGAATTTGACATTGTTTGCATGGTACCTGTCTTCCAGCTCATTAGATCATTAAGTCCATAGCATGTTCTATGTGTCTGTCACACAGAAGACAGTCTTCTTTTAGTGGTAACAAGAGTGTACATTTATTAATTTGGTAGGCTGTGCTATTGGCAATGACTTGTTCACTTGATAAGTTTTAGTTTCATTTCATTTAGTTTCATAACAGATGTGGCTAGTAGACATTTCTGAGAGAATAGGTCAAATTATGTGAGTGTATTGATTTCAAATCTGAAAAATTTAACATGCACCAGTGATGGGGAAGTCCTTCTGTGTATATGTCAATAAAGCACTGTTGGCCAATAGAGAAGCAAGATAGGTGGAACTAGGAGTCCAGGAGGATTCTGGGTAGGAGAAACACAGGGTGTCACGATGTAACCACCATAGGGGTAAGATAAATACTTAGATTGGCAGTCATGGGGTAAATACTTAAGTCAGAGATAGCCAGTAAGAAACAAGCAAGGCCACAGCTTCATAAGTAATACAGCATCTTGTGTGTTATTTGGGGACTACAACTTGGCAGAGCCCAGGTGACTGGTGGGGAAAAACCAAAGTGGCTGGCAAGTAAAAGGCTTCTCTCTACACATTAGCAGTAGCGTAGCAGTAGGCTCTCACTGATTTAAAATAAAGTGTTCTCTTTGGGATAATACATTTATAATAATAAAAACTTAAATTCAACATTTCCCTTTTTGTTCTTTTAAGGAATGAATTTCTTTGGATTACTTTTGAACTTATTTTCTGGGGAAACTAAATAGTTCTAAAAGGCATGGGATGTCTGTATGAACTACATATCTTTTAAAAATTTGAAGTATTTGCAGTTCATTGTGCTGACCTCCCTTTGAGAAGAGGTGACTCTTCTGCTCACATTCGAGGAGTGGGCCAAAATCGTAGGCTCTCAAATGGCCGCCATTTAGGATCAAATGATTAGAAAATGTGGTGAAAAACAAATATTTCTGAGACAGGGTCTCATGGAGTCAAGGCTGGCCTTGAACTGTGGATCCTCCTGCCTCCATGTTCCGAGTGTTGGGATTTTATGCACCATCACCATTCTTATCTCTAAAATGTTTTAAATCTTTTGATACTGCTTCAGCATGAAGCTTTCCGTTTTGAAACAGAACAATCCAAATCTAGTGATCCTATGGGTATTTTTATGTCACTGCCTTTTGTAGGCAGAAGTCTATAGATATTATCCTTGACCATTGTTTTAAGAAGAGTTAGAAGGTAGTACTCACAGGCATTTCTTCTGAACTCATGAAGCCAACTCTGGCAGGAGCATTCTGTTAATAAAGAAACAATGCATCACTTTATGAACTAGCAGCCCTTGTGACTTCCTTACCTACTCAAGACAAAGTAAAAAAAACACTTAGTATTTCCCTTAAGACTTAGAAGTGCTCTGGCCAGAGGCAGAGTAGAGATCTGAGTCATTACTAAGTAGATAGAGCCACTTTGACAGATTTAAATTACATTTTTCTTTAATGCAATTGTGTGTCTCTATTATGCAAATAGAGAAGTGTGCCATCTTATTATTTAAATGGTAAATGTAGGTATTTAGGGAATATTTATTTGGACTATCTCGTGTTAGGTATTGATTCTATGATTTTTAGCTCTGAAGATGATATCTAATTGATGCTTTTTACAGAATACAGACTTACCAATTGGTTTGCTCCATAAGACATGTAAAACATTCCTGGGTAAAACTAAGCAGAACAAAATTGTTATGAAAAAGTGAATCTTCCCAAGAGGAATCTTTTAAGTAAGTTTCAGACACACAAGTAGAAGGAGAAAACAGACTTACGGCTGGTGCTTTGTTGTGTGCCATTGGTCCCCGAGACACGGAGCGAGCTATCTGAAACACCTGTGGCAGGTGGAAAGAGCAGAGGAATCGGTCAACACAGGCACATATCCACTGCAGTACTTTCAAGAGCGCCAGGAACGTATTTTTCCATTGATTAGTGTGCAACATTAGTACTTAATAGTGAAGCAAAAGAAACTCAGAAATACTCCACACCTATAGGTGAACAAGAGCATAAAACAATTCATTCAGGCTTTTTAAAATATAGAGAAAGTTTTTCTCCAAGAAAGTATCTGTACTTACTGCTGGAAACTGTGGATCAGCAAAATCCATTAGTGGGACCTGCATCATAAAGAAATATTGAAACTATCTGTCAAACAGACAAACATAGTACTCACTTATGTTGTTTATAATTACAATAACGTGGTTTAAAATGTTTCTATGTTTTACTCTCTTTAAGTATTGGAATAATACAGTTGTGTTTTACTGACATGACTCAAGTGAACCTGTAGGGAGATGAGACATGTCGATCACGGATTTGCTAAGCATTACAGAGTAAATTGTAATGACTTTTGGAACTGGCATGTACTTGAGTGGTTTGAAGTCTGGCACTGCCACTTAGTTTTAGTGTAATCTTTGGGGAATTTTGTAACCTTTCAATGCTTGTTTCCTTAGGTTTGTTTGTTTATTTATTTATTTTTGAGATAAGGTTTCTTTGTGTAGCCCTGGCTAGTCAGGAACTTGCACTGTAAACCAGGTTAGTCTTGAACTCAGAGATCTTCTTGCCTGTGTCTCTGGAGTGCTGGGATTAAAGGCATGCTCCAATCCCAGCATCTCCTTATGTTTAAAAAGGTCCATAATGTTTATCTTTATAGGACTGTAGTCAGGGTGATAGGAGGGATTATTAAATGCCTGCTACACAGTGTTGGTAGTTGCATGACACCTCTCTTTTTCTGTCTGTTGCTCTTTTCTTTACATCATTACAAGGTAATTTTGCATAGCTATATTTTATCTGCAGAGAGATGAGAATCCAATATTGTACTTGTTATGCAGAAGAAGCAATCACTGTGCTTAGTATTACCAATGCTGAAAAACCCAAGCTAGTGAGCCTGGGCTTCTCTGAACTGTCTTATTCCCAAGGGAAGGTTCCATCAAGATAAGTTTAGAGGTGTAGATCTTTTGGAATCTGTGCCAACTCTGATGGCAAAAATAGAAATGGACATTTATGTCTCATGAAAGAATATTAGTAAAGTATTTGTATTTTAGTATATTAGGCTGGAAAGATAGGATTATTTAAATTGTCCCGCCAGTTAGTTTTCCTTTCTTTGTGTTAGTGGGGGATCCTGAGCTGATGTCAAAGTTGAAGAATTACCTCAGGTGTTGGGGGATTCTCTGATGGCAACACCTGCGGCTGCTCATCTGCTGCTGTCAGTTCTCCTTCCTGCAAGGGCAGCTGTCCAGGGTGCATTGGAGGCTGAGGCCCTGGCTTCTGGGGGGTGACCTGGACACCAGTGGCATCAGTGGGCTGGAGGAAGGGTTTCAGTCCTGGCTGGTGAGGCTGCAGGGATGGCTGTGATGGGAGAGGTGGGGGATGCACAGGCAAAGAATATTCATACTGTAGAGAAATTTGAAAAGAGTGTCAGGAAGAGGTGGTTCACTGAACCATGTTGCCTAGAATTTCTACAGCAAAGTGCATGGATGCTTGCTGTTTGGAAGGGAGTAAGTAGTCTTGAAACAGAGTTTACACAGAAGGTGGAGGCGATGCATTCGAGAAAGTTTTAAATGTACTTACCCCTCTACCTTTGTGGGGACCATTGTTTCTTGGGGCGTGGAAATCTATGTGTCTGACCTTTCGGGTAGAATGACTCATTCTGTCCTCTGGATAACCACCACTACCTGTATATCTTTTCTTCACCATTTTCTTACTAGATTATAAGAATTTGTCACAAACTTCTCCTAAGTCAACTGACACAGAACAATATCTTATTTATCTTTATCTGCCCTTCCCCCGTATTTAACGAATTGATATTGGTACTAATAAGTGCTCAGTGTGTAATGAGTACTTAATACATTTTGTAATTTAATAAAAGGGTAGTAAATTCTTAAATAAATGTTTTTTTATCATAAATCTACTTGGGAAACAGTCAAGTGAAGAAACGACCAGTAATAGCATAATTTGTGTCGTCAGTGTGGCCTTGTAGACAATGCTGTATGGAAGTCCAGGTAGAAGTAAAAGTAACTGTTGGACTACCATGTAATTTTTTGTTTGTTTTTAGAAATTACTTGTGATTGGCTACATATTATTTATAGATTAATTTCATACTCCTAGAACTGGTTTGAAAGTCTCATACTAACTTGACTCTACTTTTTGTCTTCAACCATTGCCCGTGTGTCAGCTCCTATAGCATTCACTACTTCTACCTCCCAGTTAACACCTTGAAATAATGTCCCATCAGACTTAAAGTTTCACAAACCTTTGAACCATTCTAAAATATTCCTATTTTTACCCCCCAAAGCTCAGACAGTTTGGACAATATGCTTATTAGGAACCCAATAAATAACAGTTGACAGATTGATGTATTTATTGGTTTCTCTCATGGTGTTGTCAGTCACAATGGTTATTGTCATTTGAAATTAGTCTTTAGGTAATTATTTAGGAAATTTTGATTAAAATGAAAATTATTCAGTTTATAGTTTGTTTTCATTTCTGAGGTTGTTTATCGTTATTACAGATATCTTTGCTGTAGATCTCTTATTTCAGAGGCTATTTGAAATAAAAGTGTAAATTTGTTTTAAAACTGAAAATTTCCCTGAGTAACAGTTATTACAGGAATTGATTGATTTGGCACTAGGGAAATTTTTCTTGTTAACTACTGGTTTGTATTTTCTACTGTTAGGTATCAATTTCAAGAAGAAAAGTAGGGAAAGATCTTAAAGCATGAAGTTTAAACACATGGATGCAATTAGCTTACCTGCTGGGTTTCATGTTCCCCTGGTCTTATCCATGGGAAAGTGTTATGTGGTGGGAGGAGACCATGCAGCCATAAACTGTTAAGGGCTTTCCCAAAGCCGAGTCTAGAGTACTGACAGGGAGGAAGAAAGCATACATATACTTCAGCATTAGGAGATAAGTGATGCTTCTTGATATAAAATAGATAAGTCAATTTTCCCAAGTCACAATATACCATAATCTTGATTGAGATTTAGCCATTGGGGATTTGTGTTTGGGGCCATTAAACAATTACTAGTTAATAAAGAGCTTTGTCTTACTTAGGGAAATTCAGTGCATGTATTTGATGGTGTTTTGAGACAGGGTTATACTAAATAATGTCCTTAGATTGGTTTGAACTTGGCAGTTTTTCTGCTTCAGTCTTCTTGGTGCTAGGTATATTGTTTTTACTTTCCTCTGCCACCACACATCGTTATTGCTAATTTGTTTGTTTGAGACTGACTATGTAGTTTAGGCTGTCTCTGAACTTACAGTATTTTTCCTGCTGTAGTTTCCCAACCACTGGGGTTATAGGAGTGAGATCCATGGTTGGCTATCACATTTTATTTTGTTTTAGTCTTTTTAATCACTCGTTTCTTCTCTTAATGTTTAGGTATTGCCAATTAATAAACAAATGTTATCAGTTACTGTACTATTGCTGTTGTAGCCACCAACCATGAATGCTCATAATACATATTTAAAAATAAAGTTTTATGAAGATCTCATTCATCTCTAATAGTTACCTGAGAAAGCGCGTTGAGTCCCTGCAAGCTTCCCAACTGTCTCATTGTCTATAAAAAAAGTGGGTTAGTATTCTAACGTATGTTAGATGTCCATTTGACACAATTGATTTCTCATGACATTTAACATCATCAATACAAATCTTGGGGTAGGTCAATTTGAATAAAGCTGAAGTAGACACAAATAACACTGAAAGAAAGAAGTGTAGACTGTAGCTTTGCTGTTGATGTGATCAGTCTGTGAAAACAGTGAGCTTCTTTTGCCAACTATTAATTGGGAAAATACTAGTTAATTGAGTGTCATATTGAGACGGGAAAATAGCTCATTCGATACAAGGACATTTGTGAGAGTATTGCTTTATCAACCCTCTCCTTTTACCTCATTTAAATAATTTTAACTTATATATTTTACAAAATCAGCCTGAAAAGGAATTTGGAAAAACAGACAAAAAATAAACTCTCACTTTTTTTTACCCCTAGCCAAAAAAATCAATATAATAGAGATACTAAACACTGCAAGAAGTGGTATCTAGGTAGATTGCCAAGAATGTCATTGTTTCTATAGAAAGTAAATTTCGTTTTTTTTCTCTGAGACTGGGTCTTTCTGTTGAACCCAGATTTGTCTCTAACTCATGATCCTTCTTCTCACTTCAGTCTCCCTGGATGTTAGGATTACAGGTAAGCTCTACCATACCTGGCCTAGATTCACCTTTTAAATGGGAAAAGAATATTTCTTGTATTGATTTTGAGCTGAAAAATTAAGGGAAAACGCAACGAAATTGACTTTCCATGTGAAGTAACTATCTGACCCACATATGTACTGATTGGTCTCAGATGGCACAATTAAATCTGTGAAAAATTGTGATAATTATAGTCTCATGGGTACTTTAAAACTGTTAGCTTATTCATTATAAAGTCTTTCTATTTTACTGTAGTTTTCTGAACAGAATATATAATAATGGTAATGCTACTGATAGGACCTTTTAACAGCTAAACTTTGTGCAAGTATGTTTGTGACATGTGAGTTTTATCATCTAAGATATAAGCAGCAGAGCTAAATGTAAACTGTTTTCAACTACAGAATAATGTGTTCCAACAGGTACAATAGCTAATGTACATATAGTAAGTATTAATCATCAGTTTTGCTTTGATTCACATAAGAATGACTTAAAACTTATATCTCAGAGTGTAAAACTGAAGTAGAATTCATAAGAGAAAATTGTAATGAATACATTGACATTTTTGTAATTTCTCAGAATGACAAAGATTTCTGGGCTAGGAAGAGTAAGAAACAATACATCATATCTAACTACAATCAGGGCATGCTAGTATAGAAATTATATATATGACTCTGACAATACATACCTCAAGGCTCAAACTAGCCATGCCAGGAGGTGCCATGCCTTGAGCCCCAGGTTGTTGAGGAAATGCCTAAATAGAGATATGAATGAAACTGAGTTCTTTGTTGAGACACTTCTCCAAATGTATATTTGGAGCAGGAGGTCACTGCTGACTGGAATGTCTCATGGAGAGACTACCATATTCGTTTATTACTCAGATGACTTGGTTTTTCAGACAGAATGAAGAATTCAAGTCAGTTGGAAGAATTGTTATACTTAGTAATTTTGCTCCCACACAATTTTTTGTGTTCATCTTAATACTATGTTGCTTTTAAAGAAAACTGATTTATAATGAGAAATAAAATAAGGGAGGAAAACACAAGTGTACTTTATAGTCTTAGATATGATCAAATGTAAAAGCAAAGGAGGCATATATTAAATGAATTTTCTTGTGCTTTTTATAAACATCTGTGCTTTTGGTTTAAGGGATATGGTATGAGGTTATGCACTGAGAAAAGCCATGTACAGACCTATCTTGCCTCCTATTCAAAAGGCCTTTGTGCCATTATTAGAGATTATTCTGGTTATAAACTCATAAATCTACATTTAAATATTTCAATAATGGGCTGGACATATGGTTCAGCAGTTAAGAGCATCTGTTGTTCTTCCAGAAGAACTGGGTTTGGTTTCCAGCATCCATATCAGGTGGCTCCCAATAATCTGTAATGCTAGCTTCAGGAGATTTGAGGTCTCTTACCTCCTCAGGCATCAGTCCACACTTACAAAAATAAAAGGAAAAGTATATCTTTATTTTTAGATCATGCAATGGATATTTTCCGCAAATAAAAAGTATTCTAGTACTAAGTAGTACTATGCTATTGTAAAGAATAAGTATATTTACAAGTAGTTTTTTAAAAATATAAAATACTTCTCTTTCTAAATCGTTTTAGTTTTTTTATATGTTAATAATCACAAATACCAGTGCCCAAGGGTGGGTAGAGACTGGAAGAGTTGAACTAGAGAAATTAGATTTTTTAAATTTAAAGTATTTATAAAAATTATTTACTTATATATCTTAGACAAGGTTTTAATATTTAGCTCAGGCTGGTCTTGAACCTGTTATGTAGCCAAGGCAGGCTTCTAATTCACAATATTCACAACTTCCCATGTGCTGGGTCAGTTCTGTGTTATCTTACCTACCAGAAAATTTGACTTTGAGAACCTTTGATGCCATGGACATTCTCATTTACCTAGGGTTGACATTGTAAGTTTTTCCTTCTTTCATTTATACTACAAGTACCTCTTTGTCTGTCTGTCTGTCTGTCTGTCTGTCCTTACACCCCACAAGTATGGGGCATTGTGATCCTTATCCTTCAGGAATAAGAGGCTAAGGAATTTTACCCTGAACTTCTTCAACTTTAACTTTTTCATACAAGTACGACTCCGCTTTCTGAGTCATGATGCAAAATTTTCCTGATAATTCTTTTGGGCTGTATGTTGAAGGAAAGCCACTAAAGTGTGTGGTAAACACTCTTGGTAGAGAAATAGATGAGCTGTGTAGACAAGAGAGTGATTGTGTGTGCCTGTGTGCATGTGTGCACATCGGTGTGAGTACAAGGAGGATGTTCAGAATTGGGGGGGGTATTGTGAGAGCAGAACCACTTTCACCCTTATTGGTAAGTGTTCTAATTCAACATTTTGGAACGCTCTAACTATAAAAAGTTTGCATATACCTGTTCCAAGTTATGCATTAAAGAGGAATATTGTTTATGTGGCTATAAGCAGACATTTATAGAGGTACATGTAATAGACATTTATTAGAGATGCATTTCCCATGGGGGAATTAAAAGCAGAAGCATCTGCTCTGATGGACAGACACTTGGCAAATCAGTGATTTACCCATTCCTCAGTGTGACTCTTAGTCAGGTGTGCATCACTGTATATTCAAAGAGTGCCGCTGTTTTAGATTGATGATGGATGGCTGACGTGGACCCTAATCTCAGTTATCATGAAAAGGCAAGTTAGGTAGCCCAGTTCAATGTTTCTTTCATTTAAAAATTCCTGTTGGGTGGTAGAACAGTTAAATGTGCCAGCTAATTACTAGCTTTAGCTGGAACTCCATACTTTAGTTTTATAACCATGTAATGTTACTAATATAAAGAGACATACGTTTTCCTCCTAAGAGATATTTTCTCTTTTCGTTTCAATTTCATAATGATAGCAAGGAATTAGTAATAAAATAGCATAATGAGAACTATGACACTTTAGTCTGTTAATTTTTAAAAGAGTGAAATGACACATAGAAGTTGTCTTTGAAAAATTCTAAAGTATTGTTTGGATTAGAAAAATCATATTTGCCTTATTACTTTTAGATGATAAGACTGATGTCTGGTCACTGGAACTTTTGATTCACTGGGAGCTACAACTTTATTAAATCAAGTTATTTGGAGTCAGTGCCGGGACTCTCAGCCAGTGTCCCCAGGGTTGCTTCAGTCTGACTCAGAAGCTTGATAGACCCTGGGATGGACTTACCGGCACTGCCAGGCTCATTTTCACTAGAGATAGGAACAGGACCAGGCCCTTCATTTTGAAAAGTGGAATCTAAAACACAGTTAGGTTGGAAAATTGCATCAGGCAGAAATGCATTCACAATGGTCAAAGTAAACTTCTAAGAGCGAGTGTCTCTTCTTCCAATCAGGTAAAAAGCAAGCAAGCAAACAATCAATAGCAGTAACAACAAAACTAAGAAAATCAAAGTGTTGCTAAACAAGCATCTCCTAGGATGAAATGATGCACAGTTACATGTTTCCGAGCACTTATTTTTATTAAGCTACAATCTAAATGAACACTTAAGAGCAGCTTCCGGGAACATTATTTAAATACGATGCTCCGTTTCATAAAATGGGTCTAGCAACCACCATTCACAGAATTTTATTCTTGGTTTAAACTCAGATAAAATTTGAAATGCATTTGAAATGCAATCTGTAATTGGGTCATAATACAGAACCAATCTCAAAACTTATAGATTTCAAGTTAAAGTTGAGTACATTTATCCCACTTGATATTAGTGATTTTCCTTCCTAAAAATGAGGAAGGAAGTGAAGGAAAAAAGATTTTCCTTTAAGATGTATTCTTTAAGTTCACAAAGCCCTTTATGGTAGCATGAATGCACATCTGATTAGCATATGTGCTCATCCTCCACCCTTTTATACATTAAGCACCATCACTAACAATCATAAACATTGTTAGAAACTTATACAAATAAGTTTATTTTCTTAGCTGAATGGTATTATATTTCCTGGAACATTCTAATGATTGAAATAGGCTGTTATTCAGCATCTTGTAATAAATGAAGATAATTTTTCTTTACAAAGGTTATCTGGAATAGGAGAAGAGAGTTTACAGAACACATAAGGAAATGATAAAATCACAGTTTACCTTAGATGCTGACATTCACTGTGCTCTCAGGCCTGATGATGCCAATCAAATAGTTCTAAGAAAAGTAGATTAATTTTTTTCTGGACTGTGCCTGGGGCTCTCTCTGTGTCTCTCATTCCGGAAAGATCAGAAACCTTTATTTAAAGCACCAATCCACCAATCAAAGTGAAGCAAATGTAGGAAAAAAATTGTGCTCCTGCAATTAGCCCACACCCTTTTATTGCATGTGAGGACATTGGGCCTGTAGGGTCTCATTACTTTAAATTGTAACTCAGCCCCTGTATTTATTCAGAGAACTCGATTGCAGGGAAGACAGTGAGGGGATAATGGACCCAGGCTTTGAAGACAATCATTTTGGTGAGCTTGGGGAAATATATGTAAAATAGGTAGAAAACAAGCCATTATCTGTTTTGTGCAAGTGTTTATCTGTAGATAAAGCTAGTGACCTAATGCTGGCATTCTTAAGATTTTTTTGAACCTCATGTTTATTATGGTAAAAGTAATGTTCTATCCCCACCCCACCAACACAAATATCCTAGAGTGAAATACTAAAGTACCTTCTAGGGCTTGAAAGGGAAGACAAAAATGATAGCTAGACACTGAAAATTTTGTGATTTTTTTCCCCTCACAGAATTTCCTATGTATTTTTATCTGAGGATAATTGATTAGAGATAACCATTAAAAAAAAGAAATTTAAGTTGTCTCCTCTGCAAGAATTGCAAAAAAAATCTTTGGTGCATATTCTTTGTGGGGAGAGGAAGAAAATTTTGAATATTCTACTGGAACCAAACAAATCTAAAATCAACTCTCCCCTACTCTTTAGGCAGTTGGTTACTTGATACATCAGTATCAAACAAGATTAGGAAGTTGTCTTTGGGTGGTAAATATCAACATGGATAGGTTTTTCTCCTTGAGCTGATACGGATGATATGGATAGAGACAGAACACCGCTGCTTAAAATTTTTTTTCTGCCCTCCTAGTCTTTCCAAAGGTATGATTTTATACATGGAATAACCATCTGAGACTACTTTCTGAAGAAGGGATGACTCAGTATACACTTTAGGAAAGTAGAGATTGTGCCAATTATAGGGAACATTGAGGAAGCTGGTATTTTGGGAGAAAGACACCTTCATATCCAACTGCAGACCTAATAGCTTCAAATAATGTTATTTAAGAAGTTCAATACTGCTCCCCGAAGACATGGATAGTTAAATGAAAACCTCAGTGCTTGGCACGGGATACCTCCCTATGAGTTACTAGTAAGGGAGTCTCCAGAGTGCTATAAACATTTTAGGCTATTGCTATTACTTTTAGTTGTCTATCATAAATAGATAGTAGGATCCCATTGCTGAAGACCACCATATGTTTTGGTTGTAGGACGTAGAGAGGTCAATCTCAAGCTGACCAGGAATCTTCTTCTCTGTTGCCTAGTTTTCCTGGTGCTAAAAAGTGGTATTAAAACCTCTAAATGGAAAAAAGACACTAATGATCCTACCCAGCACTGGGCCTCACATGCTACAATACTGACTTGACAGGCAAGATGTTCTCACTGGTGCGGTAGTGGCATGACTGCAGTGGGACAACCAACTGCTTTATGGCTGTAGTTTAAGCCTTGTTAATAGGGGGCAATTCATGTCTAAGTCCGTAAACCTAGTCAAAAGTTTGTGACTTTGGAGGTCACAGGCCCTAGAAGGGAGCCTGCTATTGCTATTTTTCTAAATTGCCCTGCTGTCAAACTGCCTTTGAAATTTTTATGTGTATACATACCTGTAGATATGGGCTATTTTAACTTTTGACAGGGTTTTTTTTCTGCAAGTAGTTAATGCAGAGTCTTACACTGATCAAAGTGCTAAGTAACTGAGTGCTCAGCCCTAAATGAGGTTATATCACCCTCCATGATCTGCCAGGGAATATCAAGGAAGAAGTGGTATAAAGAATAGAAGAGCCAGAGGATGTGGAGGAGTGCTGCAAAATATTGTTTTCTGGACATGACATGGCTGCTGTACCCATAAATCACAGTAGCTTTGGTTTGTTGCACAAGGTCAAGTGGTCAGATTTTCCACATGCATGGAGAGTGGCTCATGAGAAATCCACCCCATCTCAGGAGCTATTGAGAGTGCTGGCCGCTGTGGGGAGAATAGTCATTTTTCCGTGGGGTTGTAGGTTACCCATGATTCAGTGGATGGCCCCACACCCATGTGCATGTGGACACACACACACACACACACACACACACACACACACACACACACTTATATATATATATAAGAGTTGGGAGAGGTGCACACCTTTAATGCCAGCACTTGGAAAGCAGAGGCAGTGAATTTCTGTGAGTTATAGGACATCTAGAGTTACATAATAGATAGATCTTGTCTAAAATATTTAAAAAACAAACAAACAAAAATTCTAGGAGAGTTGTGAGAGGGATGTGGAAAGGCATGTTGAGGGAATTGGAGGGAGAAATGAGGAGCAGTTATAAACATAATACATGATATACATGTTTGAAAAACTTCTGCCATTGGTAACAATGATCTTTATGGCACAAATATGGAAATAATGTCAATGTATTTTGTAAACAGCAAAATTAACATATTTTATCCTCGTCTTTCTTTCTTTTTTCAAAATATTCTATCTCTGTCTTTGTCATTCTCTCTCTCTCTCTCTCTCTCTCTCTCTCTCTCTCTCTCTCTCTCTCTCTCCTGCTACTCCTTCTTCTCAGGATTTACAGATAGGCAGGACTGTTGATAACTCTTCCCTCTTGGCAGCACTTTGAGAACTAGGTCTCAAGGAGGCCATGTCAGTACTAGCTTGATTTCTCCAAGTCCTTTGATCAACTGAAGTGTGCGGTATTCAGTAATCATGTCATACCGTCAAGTTCTGGAAGGCCACCAGGACCAATGACAATAACCTATATTGTTTTGATGGGTTCTTGTTCAACAATTCAAAGGTCAGGATCCCATGCCTGGCACTGGAGTTTCGATTGTCTTTGGCTTCTGAGGGGAGTATTCTCACACTATATGGGTTAACTCTATCAACTCATTCTCTCTGTCTCATAAGTTTATAAAATAACAGGTTTCTCTGTAACTTTTCGAAGCATACTTAGTGTTATTTATCCGTCTCTGCCCCTGAATGTTTTGTACTATCCTCCCTCATTCCTTCCCAGCTAGTTCCTTCTCATCTGTTTTTACCCATTTACCCTTCATAGCACCTGTGTCCTGCTTCACTCTTCTCTAGAGCTCCCTCTCCTCACTCTCCCCGGTGGTACCTTTCTATTTTCTCAACTTCTGTGGGCATTCCAAACTATCTACTTAAAGACTTGGATCTAAGCTCTAAAAATAAGAGAGAACATGCATCATTTGTCCTTCTGGGTCTAGGTTACTTCGCTCAGTATAACATTTTACAGTTCCATTCATTTACCGGTGAATTTTAAGGTTTCATTTTTCTTCACAACTGAATAGAATTTCATTATGTAAATGTATCACTTTTTACTATTCACTCACCAGTTAATGTATCTAGGCTGCTTCCATTTCCTAACTGTTGTGAAGAGAGCGGCACAGGATATGGCCAGCATCTGAGCACCCTCCATGGTGTGGGATAGCTGGTCCTATGAGCATACTCCAAAGTGTGATATAGCTGGTCCTAAGATCTATTTTGAGAATTCTCCACACTGATTTCTATAGTGACTGCACTAGTTTTCAATACTGCCAACTGTGACTAAGGGTTCCTCTTTTCCCCCATCCTGCCAGCACTTGCTGTCAGTTATTGCTTTAAATTTAGTCACTACATCTGAGATAAGATTAAATCTCAAAGTAGTTTCAATCTTCATTTTCCTGATGTTAATGATACTGAACACTCCTTTTCTTTTGAGACAGGGTCTTACTATGTAGACAGGGCTGGTCTGAAACTCACATGTATTCTGAGGGTTAGAATTAATGACATGGCCTTTGAACCCTTCATTTTAGAAGATATTTCTTACCCTTTCCTCCTTCCTTCCTTCCTTCCTTCCTTCCTTCCTTCCTTCCTTCCTCCCATCCTTCCTTCCTTCCTTCCTTCCTCATCCTTGTCCTCTTCCTCCTCCTTTTAGAATTCTTTGTTCAGATCTACAACTCATTTTTGTTTATTATTTTTTATTGAACTATACATTTTCCCCCACTACCCTTCTTTCCTCTTCTCTTCCCTCCTCCCCTCCTCTCCCCCTATACTCCCAATTTATTCAGGAGATCTTGTCTTTCTCGCTTTCCTAGGTGGGTCCGTATATGTCTCTCTTAGGGTCCTCTTTGTTCCCTAGGTTATCTGGGGTTGTAGCTTATAGGCTGATTGTCCTTTGCTTTATGTATAATATCCACTTTATGAGTTGAGTGCCAATTACATTTGTCTTTCTGGGTCTGGGTTACCTCACTCAGGATGGCTTTCTTTAGTTCCATCCATTTGCCTGCAAATTTCATGATGTTATTGGTTTTTACTGCTGAGTAGTATTCCATTGTGTAAATATACCACATTTTCCTTATTCATTCTTTTTTTCTGTAACAAAGATTGTGTATTATAACCAAGATTGTGTACTATAACAAAGATTGTGTTCTAAAACAAAGATTGTGCACTGAAACAAAGATGAACAGTTGGAACAGATCCACATGCTACATAAACCCAAAGCCATTTATTATCTTGCCATTCCCAGAAAGTTTGTTGGCCCTTGTTCTGGACAGTACTATCCTAAGGAGGCAGACTGCAAATGACTTGTCACATCTCCATGGCAATTCGGGAGCTGAAGCAGATCACTACCTAATCCATTGCTTCTTTCATTGAGAAAGATTTACTTTAAAAAATAGTCAGATGAACTAGACAAGGTACTTAGTAACACAGTTGATTTGTGATGAAGAAATCTCTTTATCTTGCAGTCCACCAGTAGGGCTTTGCTATTAAGCCTGTCTGTGCTCTGAAAACCACACCTATCTAACATCAATCTCAACTATTAATATCATCAAAGGCCCAATTCAATCCCAACCCTGTCTCTGAGC